ACGCGGAAACAAAGGCTTTGTCAAGTGGCACCGCCATTGAAACCGCACGATTCTTCGTAGAAAATATCGCCCTGAGGCACGGTGCTCCAACAATCATAATAACGGATCGAGGTGCCGCTTTCACGGCCGCGCTCCTGAAGACAGTGCTTGAGCTCAGTAGAACAGCCCATCGGAAAACCACTTTCTATCATCCACAAACCAACGGCTTAACAAAACGCCTGAACAAGACTACTACCGACATGTTGAGTATGTACGTTAACGTGGATCACAAGAACTGGGACGACATTCTACCGTACATAACGTTCGCCTATAATACAGCGCAGCAAGAAACTACACGAAGAACGCCGTTCAGTCTCCTTCATGGCCGTGAAGTGACGACGATGCTTGACGGCATGTTACTGCACGACTGCAATGACATCGATTTGGACGCTGTATCTTTTACCCAACGAGCGGAAGAAGCGACGCAACCGAATCACCCAGCAGCAAAATTACGACGCCTAACGTTATAATCTGTGACACTGACATGCCGTCTATCGGGCCGGCGACAAAGTCTGGGTATGGAGTCCTATCCGCCGCCGGGGACGGTCTGAAAAGTTGCTGAAGAAGTATTTTGGCCCCTACACAGTTTTACAACGCATGAGCGATGTTAATTACGTGGTCGTTCCTGACAACCCCTCGACAACTCGCCAGCAAAAACCAGAAATCGTGAACGTTGTGCGAATGAAGCCCTACTTTTCGGACTGATTTACACCATACATATACTTCACCGTCTTTTGTAGAAGAGCATCGGGACGCTGCTCTCTGGAGGGGGGCAAATGCCACATTGAATATGCAGCACCAAGAGAATAACGAAGAACACGCGCTGCGGGAGAAGAAGACGAGGTTCTCTTCCGATCAGTTTGCCAGTGTTCTGGTACATTTAAAGTGAGTTTCCTGTATTCGACTGCTGCTGTTCCTGCATTGTGACAATAGGTATGAATCAAGTAGTTGCACTGTCGAAGATTTGTGGGGTTTCTTCAAGAATCTTGTTATGAAATGCGTCTCAAGTCATGTCCTCTCAAAGATTATCAGAACGCAATCTGCTCGCCCTTGGACGACGAGGGAAGTAGTGCGAGCGGGACGCAAACTAAAGAAGATGCGCAAAAAACTGCGCCAGAACCCGTCATCTTCTCATGTATAAAAATTTTGTAATATGCGTTTGCAGTTAAACGAAACCATAAAGAAGGCAAAAGACTACTTTTTCAACATATCTTTGAAAAACTTCTTGCTTTCTGCTCTTGCGAAGTTCTGCCGACACTTGTCACCTAGGAAGCAACAGGCATATAAAATCCTCATTAATGGAGAATTGGTAACTGATAAATCACTCCTTGCGTCATCGTTTAACAAGTTTTTCTATTCAGTCTACACAAATAACGATGGGAAACAACCAAGTCTCGCGATTTCTCAGGACGTACCTAAAATTTCTGACTTAATAATAACTGAAGAGGGTATTTTATCACTGCTGCTTAAAATCAATATAAAGAAATCACCGGGAATTGATTGCATACCGAACGCAATTCTAGTAAGGTATGCAGAATGGTGTTCAAAGTATTTATCTATTATATTCAAAACAAACATTGTTCACTGCAGGACTCCCGAGAGAATGGAAGCGCGCGAAGGTTGTTGCGATCCCTAAGGCGATAAATCCTTCACTAATTACGTCATACAGACCAATATCTTTACTGTGTACTTGCTCAAATTTGCTAGAACATATTATTTTTACGTACTTGACAAACTTTCTGCAAAAAAATAAATTGATTGATTGCCGCCAACATGGTTTCCGTAAGAGAATGTCGACGGTTATCCAACTCCTTGAGACAATACACGAGTTTGCCTCAGCCTTAGATAAACAGAGTCAAATCAATATAATTTTTTAGGACTTCCAGAAGGCATTTGATCGCGTCTCGCACCATAAGCTTTTGTTAAAATTAAAACCCATATTACAAAATAACTCAGTTCTCTCATGGATAAAGTCATACGTATCGTCTAGGAGTCAATGTGTATCAGTTGGCGGCTCGTGTTCACGCCCGGCGCCCGTGCAATCAGGCATTCCCCAAGGGTCGGTACTCGGGTTACTATTCTTTTTAGTTTATATAAATGATATCGTAAACGACATACCTGTCAAAATCAAACTATTCGCGGACGATTACAACCTTTATTAGGAAGTAAACACACCTGCTGACCAGTAATTATTAAGTAGTGCCCGCGACAAACTACATATTTAGTGTGAAAAATGGCAGATGAGCATCAATACTACAAAAACCGTCTCAATGACAATTTCAAGAAAGAAGGCACCACTTACTTTCCGGTATTCAATAAATGGTCGCTGTCTTAGTGCTGTAAATTGTTATAAACACTTAGGTTTACTAATCACTTCAGACCTCCGGTGGAATGAACATATCACTTTTCTAGAAAAGAAAGCCATGAAAAAGATTGGATATCTTTGAAGATCGCTACGACAGTCAACGCAAGAAATAAAACTATTAGCATTTAAAACCTACATTCGTCCCCTTTTGGAATATGCCTGCGTGGTCTGGAACCCATACACAAAGAAAAATATTGATGAACTAGGAAACCTACAAAGAAATTCTGCTCGATTTATCTTTCGCTCATACAATCGTCTTACGGCAGTCACTGCTTTGCTTCAGACAGCGAACTTGGGAGCTTTACATTTGCGGGGATATCGCGAAAGACTAAAATATATGTATCTGCTCTACCACGTTAAGCTTGGCATTGATTCAAGTGCGTATATAGAAAAAGTCGTGCGACGACCAATGCGGGCGGATCACTCAAAAAAATTACAGGAATTTTCTTGCAGAACGAACTTGTACATGGGCTCTTTTTTCCCACGAACTGTACGCGAGTGGAATCGCCTCCCTGGTGGGATTGTGGAGGCGGCGACAGTGGCGCCATTCTTATCGAAACTATAAAACTTATAGCATGTCTTCCCGCCATATTTGTACTCTTTGTTTTGTGATGTTGCATTGTTAGTACACAAGTGATGTTAGTACGCACTTATATAAATATTATGCTATGCGCAATTGCATGTCATGCACTGTATATTTTTCTTTTTACCGCGTTAAAACCTGTGTGTCCGCGGCATTCTCTGCGCGTAATATATTGTGAAAATGTTCAGTGTGCTATATTTATATGCTATCCACTCCTGCTTATGGGTTCACTTTGAAGCCAGCAGGAATCCTGTAAATAAAAAAATAAACAAACAGAGAGTACACGAACTTATTGAGGCTGTGCATATTGACAATTAAGATTTCTGAATCGTCCGTTAGTGTTCCCTCTGTGGTCAGACTTGATAAAAAGTTGAGTTTTCTAGGTTTTGTATGACATGCGTGCTATTCCCGATGTGTCCTAGGTTTTGTTGATTTGGTCCCTCGTGCCTTTTTCTCCTCCCCCTTTGTCCTGGCTGCACTCAAAACCTCTTGGCTGCTCTCGAAAATATTACTACCACAAGAGTGGAGCACTTAGTCTTTAGAATGTTGAAAAACTCATTGTGTACAAAAACCAGCTTTAAATGAAGTGATCTATCAACCTACTTCCAACACATTCCACATGACCATCTTTTTTACATGAAAGCAATCATGAGTTTTAGATAACACACTTCAATTTGTGCTTTTTAACGTTCCGCGTCTTTTTTTTTTTTGTTCCTACGTCCACTCGCGCCGCACCGTCCAAGACACTCGGCACAGCTGATACATCTATTGCTTTTCCTCCGACACCTTTTTGGATCAACTTTCGGAGGCTTCGTCCCACCTCGGTAGCTAGCACTGATTTCTTGCCCCGCGCTCTCTGCATCCACAGAAATACTTATTGTGTTAGGAGTTCTTGCCTCATTCCTCCCCCTTTGCTTTTAGCGTCTACCGCTCACATCACGGGCAACCTTTCTTGAGTCTTATAGTTGCTATCAGTTATTGGCCGGTTTGAAGCTCTCATTAGCTTCACTCTATGGTCTTAATCATCGTGCGTCTCAGGCACTTTAACTATATTGCTACCTTCTGGTACTATATCTTGCGAACGTTGAACACTAGTTCCTTGGACAGACATGCTCATTATTAATAGCTATGCTCTGTTTTTTCGCCGTCACTAGGCGTTGCGTTCTCTTGCTCCATGCCTTTAACAAACCTGGTAGTGTTTGCAACAATTCAGCTATCTTCGTTAGGCTGAGTACATAGGAACCTGCTCTGATTTGCACAATTATCGTGCTCAATGTCACTTTGTTAAACTAAAACAAAACTCTGAAAGTCAGGCACGCAAACTCTTTTACCTAGAACCTCTGTCGACCTAGTTTCATCTGGTATAATGTCCCATTTAGTTAGCACCCATCGCAGATCCAAGTTACCAGGATGAATTCTGTGAGAAAAGGGAGGAAAGGCTTGTGTGAAAACAGCAAACACTAGACAGTGTGCTGCCGTCTGTGAGCCATTGTGAGACTCTTTGTGTCCCTTTAAGGAAATGCCTTTTCAACCAGAGTCATTCAATCATACGAGTTGCGAAACTCGCCATAGTTTTCCTGTATTGAAATCCGAACACAACATAAGCTGAAAAGAAGGCTGGGAGTAGATTGTAGCGCCATCTTTTGACAAAGAAACTAACTAGAAAGCGCAATATTTTGTGTTTTTGCGTTTAGCAAGATTGAGAGCGCCACCACACTTTGCCAAACAGCATGGCAGTGCCTTGAATTTGTTCTTAGGTGAGTTGGTGCCTAAGGGTGCTTAACATGTTACTTTGTCGGAGTGGTGTGTAGTATCGTAAGGGCGAAGAATAAGACGATGCACGGCCAGAACAAGAAGGAACAATGTTTATTCACGAGGCTGCTGTCTTGGTTTTAATACCCTGGCCCGAGGCCGGAGCATGCGCAGTGGCGAGGGGTGGAGGCACGTGTTATCGGTATGTTCTTCGGCGCGTGCACCTGATAATCTACGATATATCACTTCCTCCCCTCTGAGCTAAAACCTATCCGGCGGCTTGCGGGCCCGGGTGGAGCGTCGGAGTGGGAGGGGTTCTGCCGTGGACCTTGGACTTGCTGGCTCGATGCCACCGCCAGACGCTTCCTCACCAGGCTCGGACAGACCGGCCTGAAGGGCTTCGCTGCTAGTTGACTGGATGCCGCTGGATGAGAGTGGCAATTGCTCCATGGCCATTGGCGTTTCGCACGGTTCTTTCTTAATCGGTGTCGACGAGTCGCGTGGTCGTACTTGATCGACGTGTCTACGTTGCACCCCCCTTGGCGTGTTAACGGTTAACAATCGCTTGCCTTCGACTGTTGTCACGGTTCCGGGTAGCCACCTTTGACCTAGCTGACTGTACTGTCGACTCCACACCTCCCTTCCTGGTGCAAACTCTTTCTTTCCAGAGTTCGGAACTCCGTTGACGGTAGCCTCCCTCTTCGACCCGTCTTCCTCTGCCAGGTAGGTGCTCAGGCGGGTCCGTGGTTGGAATCCAAAAAGCCTTTCCGCGGGCGACTGCTCCTCTCGGGTCGGTGTTGTCCTGTAACGCAACAAAAATTTGGCAAGCCGACTTTGCAGCGTTCCCACCCGATTTTTCTTCAGGCCCTCCTTGATGGTGCGTACTGCCCGTTCCGCCAAACCGTTGGATTGCGGGTAGTAAGGGGCCGTCGTTACGTGGCGCACCCCATTTTCCCGGAAGAACCGCGCTGTCTCTGCACTGGTGAATTGTGGACCATTATCCGACACGACAGTCCGTGGTATGCCAAATCGCGCGAAAATGCACCTAAGTGTGTCTACCGTAGTCGCTGCTGTCGCCGTCTTCAAGGGCACTGCTTCGATCCACTTAGTCTCGGCGTCGACGAGGACGAAGATCATATGCCCTTCCACGGGACCAGCAAAATCCACGTGTAGGCGGTACCACCGTCTGTTGTTCTTTGGCCAGTTTGCCGGGACCTGCGCTGGGGGCATGGGCAAACACTGCACGCATTGGGGACACCGTTTTGCAAGCATTTCAATTTCACCATCTAGCCCTGGGTACCAGAAAATTGAGCGCGCGAGGTTCTTCATTGCCGTCATGCCTGGGTGCGTATCGTGCAACTCTTTCAAAACAAATTGCCGGGCAGCTGTTGGCAGAACCACACGGTGGCCCCAGTAGAGTATCCCGTTACTCACGGCCAATTCACGCCTCCGTGCAAAATACGGTTGGTACTGCTGTTCCTCTGAACCGAGACGCCTTGGCCAGCCTTGCAAGATCCAAGTCTTCACTTGCTGAAGTACGTCATCTTTGCTGGTGTGGTCTGAAATACTCTGCGCAGACAAAACAAAATCATCCATAGCCTGCGCATGCAGGACATATTCGGCTAGTTCATTTTCCCAGCCATTATCGCGAACCGGTATTGGCAACCGGCTTAGAGCGTCGGCATTTGCATTTAGCTCTCCTTTTCTGTATTCCAAGTCGTATTGATAAGCTGCTAAGAGCAGCGCCCAACGTTGAATGCGGGCCGCTGCCATTTGCGGAATGGGTTTATCTGGACCTAGCAAACCAGTCAGAGGCTTGTGATTGGTCACCAGAGTGAACTTGTTGCCAAACAAATAATCTCGAAATTTTACAACGCCGAAGACCAGCGCTAGTGCCTCCTTTTCCAATTGTGAATAATTACGTTCCGCCGACGTTAGAGTTCTCGAGCGGAACGCTATGGGATGATCCACTCCTTGTATGCGGTGCGACAAAACTGCGCCTATACCCTCGGCCGACGCATCACACTCAAGCCGCAAGGGTTTTTGGGGGTCGTAATGCACAAGAAAGTTCGCCCTTCTCATGGCGCGCTTGGTTTCTTGGAATGCTGTTCTCTGTGCGGGCCCCCAACACCACAGTGCTCCTTTAGACAAGAGTCGGTGTAACGGGGCCAAAGTGGACGACAAGTTCGGTAGAAATTTGGAATAGTATGTGACCAGTCCTAAGAATGATTTAAGCTGGCTTACCGAAGTCGGTGGCGGTGCCGCTAGCACTGCTTCCAAATTGTCCTGCAGTGGGTGGAGGCCTTTTGCATCGATTCGGTGCCCTAGAAATACCACTTCTTTCTCCCGGAAGTGGCACTTCTCCTTGTTCAGTGTTAGGCCGTTCGCCCGAAGTCGTTCGAACACTTGCCGCAGTATCGTTGTGTCATACTCTTTTTCTGCTACAATAATGTCGTCCAGGTAAACTTTCACCCCTGGTATACCCTGCAGCACGGCTTCTATGCGCCGCTGAAACAGCGCAGGCGCTGAGGCAATGCCAAAAGCCAAGCGGTTGTAGCAGAAGAGGCCTTTGTGTGTATTCAACACAGTTATCTTCTTAGCATCATCATCCAGGCAAAGCTGGTTGTATGCGTTTCGTAAGTCGAGTGTGCTGAACACTTCGCCTCCTGATAGCGCCGCAAAGATGTCGTCAATTTTCGGAAGCGGGTACTGCTCTGTTCTTGTCGCTGGATTAACTGTCAGCTTAAAGTCCCCACACAGCCGGATGTCTCCGTTCTTCTTTACTACGGGCACGACCTGTGTTGCCCATTCAGCCACGCTCACTGGGGACAGCACGCCCACTTCCACCAGTCGGTCAATTTCGGCGGAGACTTGCGCTCTCATGGCATACGGGACTGTCCGAGCCTTCAGAAATCGAGGTTGCGCACTTTCCTTGAGGTACAGCTTCACCGGTGGTCGCTTACAGCATCCGAGGTTCTCAAAGAGGTCCGGAAACTCGTCAAGAAGTGCGGTTAGCTGGCTGTCGGCGTGAACAACATTCACCGAAGACGACGTGCCTTCTACTAGCAACATGCCTGCTTTGCGAAATTCCTCTATCGTGTCCCTTCCGCACAAAAGGGGCCCTCGATGGTCCACTACTATCAGCGAACTGCTCACCGTTACTGGTCCAAGCTGTACCTGCATGTCTACCTTGCCAACGACCGGCAACGGTCCCAGGAAACATGAAAGGCGTAGTGGAGTTTTTTGCAGAGCCGGCCACCACTTGCGATGCTTCTTGTACAAGCTTTTGGGAATCACGCTTACTGGTGATCCAGTATCGACAATCATTCGCAGCCTACGGCCTTCCCACGTTAAGGTGCGCTCGATTGGCTGCACCAAGTGCTTATTGGCGGAACTGTGTGCAACGAGAGCATACAACCTCTCTTCTTTGCTTTCACATTCGGTTCCGTCGACAGCGAACGTTCCTGACCTGGGGGTGTGGGGTCTTTTGCAAGCCCTAGCAAGATGCCCTCTTTTACCACATTGATGGCATATGGATCTGCGATGTCGACAGGACGCCGTTGCATGTGCCCCTTTGCATCTGTCGCATGAAAGGCTGCAATTCTTCCTCCACTGTCTGCCTTGTTGCTGTATCACGTTGACGCCGCCACCTTCGGTCCGGGCGTATGAAGTACGCATGCCCCGAGCGTCTTCGTTCGCTTTCTCAGAAGCTAAGGCGAATTCTTCGGCTTCTTCACGAGTCAAGTTCTTGCGGCCCAGCAGGCACCGGCGTGTTTCCTCATCCCGAATCCCACAAACGATTCGGTCCCGCAACATACGGTCCAGTGTCGCCCCGAAATTACAATTTACGGCCAGTCTTCTCAGTTCAGCAACGTAGTCCCGGACGCTTTCTTGCTCATCTTGTTTTCGCATAAAGAAAGAATAGCTTGCTGCTATTTCGTTTGCCTGAGGGTTGAAATGTTCTTCCAAGCATTTCACAACGTCATCGTACGTCAAGGAGTTGATGGCGACCCCCGGCTGGTGCCCTTGCAATATCCGGACGACACTGTCGCTCAACGATGAAATCAGTAGGGCCCGGCGTTTCGCTACGTCGGTAATATCGTTGCCCTCAAAGTAGGCTTCCAACCGGACACGATACGTGCTCCAGCTACTCACGGCGTCGTCGAAGGCAGGGGGTCGGGATCCCATTCTTCTGGTCTCAGCGTCGGAGTTCAATTAACCGGATCCCATCCTCGTCGCCACTGTAGTATCGTAAGGGCGAAGAATAAGACGATGCACGGCCAGAACAAGAAGGAACAATGTTTATTCACGAGGCTGCTGTCTTGGTTTTAATACCCTGGCCCGAGGCCGGAGCATGCGCAGTGGCGAGGGGTGGAGGCACGTGTTATCGGTATGTTCTTCGGCGCGTGCACCTGATAATCTACGATATATCATGGTGGAGACGTGATAAAGGACAGAGGAGCTGCTTGTTCTCTTGATGTTGTGTCATTTTTCATGGTTTTCGCATTGCGCTAGAAGTAACGTGGCTATAAGCGGCATGTTCGTGTGGTAGGTACACAACTAGCACAGCGGAATGGACGGTGCAGCGAAGTTGGTAGTTAATCAGATTCATGTGGTGAGCCCACGATCTTTACATTTCGGCAAAATAGTGGTGCAGCAAGGCGTGATGCAAGCAAGATGCAGTGTACATCCGGGTGGAACCCACCTGTGAGTCTCTGGATGGCAGCAGAAGACGTTGCCCGAGCAGCAAACGTCGGTGCCGTTGGAAAGACTCCACGAACATAGCACCTGAAGAGAAAAGAACGCTTGCAGTGCTAGTTGCAAGTAAATAGCAATGTTCATGTTCCCACTTTCTTGTCATCGGGCTTTCATAATTATATGGTATCCCAGCTGGTGTCTCATTGATTTTGTGAATAGTGGAATTCAACCGCTGCGTTCAAGAAAAAGCGGCCAATGGGCGGTAAGTACTGATCGGTGCTGTTGTGGTTTGGTTTGCAATCTACCGTATCTGTGTCTTGTTTGTGCGGCCATCTCTTCCATCGTGTTAGTGAGACACATCGTGAACCCTAGAGTGGAACAGTTAAAAGATTCGTCAAACTTTTTGACGCCAAACGTCAAAAAAGTGCACAATTGCAAACGAACAAGCGAAAAGTAATATAAATAATCAGGGCACAGCGTTAAAACCATGGTAGCACAAAATTGCAAGCACCACCTTCGACGAAATAAACCTTGACGCTTTGACCCGCCTTTGCTTACGCCTTTGCAGAGCGAAAACAGCTCACAGCAGCTGCGGGCGCCGTGCAAGCTAAGGCCATTCATCAAAGCGACAAAGCCGGTGTTGCGTGCGGCGTTGAGCTGCCTTAAAATAAACGCATGCACATGTGCCGATACAGTGTTTTGTATCGTCGCTCCCAGATGGCACGACGATCGGCTCACTCCCGCTAGGTCGGCCAATGGCGTTTCCGGGTTTTGGAACGCAGTTTCACAACTCATATGATTTAATAACTCTGATTTCCACAAACCACAACACTTGCATATATTTAGCTTTCCATTATCACGACACTATTAAAGAAGTGAAGTACTGCAGTTGCCATTTCATAGATCATAAGGCGATGCTTGTTACAGTTAGCCGGAAAAGGTCTTCAGAAAAACAAATCGAACAATTGCCACATAACTAGTATTGTGCTTTATCCTGCTCCAGATGAAGCATTAACCCGGGCCCAAGCGACTAGACTGCGAAGGACTCAGACTCATTGTATACTCAGCCCGAGGAGGTTAGCCGCAATAGTGATAGATGAGAAGCTACACAAGTGTATAACTGTGGCCTAGCACAAGCAGGAGAAGACGACGTGTTACGGGGTTGCTCCAACAACCCTCTAGCCGAGGAGCTCCTGCAGCCATAATAATAATAATAATAATGTCCCCGCCGCGGTGGTCTAGTGGCTAAGGTACTCGGCTGCTGACCCGCAGGGCGCGAGTTCGAATCCCGGCTGCGGCGGCTGCATTTCCGATGGAGGCGGAAATGCTGTAGGCCCGTGTGCTCAGATTTGGGTGCACGTTAAGGAACCCCAGGTGGTCGAAATTTCCGGAGCCCTCCACTCCGGCGTCTCTCATAATCATATGGTGGCTTTGGGACGTTAAACCCCACATATCAATCAAATTAACTTAGCAGAGGCAATTGTGAGACAACTTTTCACGAGCACAATACCCTAGTAACTCGAAAACTCACGTTGCCCAATCACCAAAATATTATTTCAGCGAGACAGCAGCTTTTAAAATATAGCTTTGCCAGCCAAAGAATACGGTGCCTCGTTGCTTATCCTGTCGCGTTCACAGTCGCCAAAGGTGAAGGCGCGCCAGCCGTGCGCCAGTGACAGCAGTTCGCAGTCACAGAAGCGGCTGTCTACACATTCTGTGAGCTAGTTGAGCCCTGGAATGTCACGCCAGCAAACCGCACATAAAAAAAATAAGTAAACTACTGAAGGTACACATGAAACCACCACGGAAATGTGAGCGATGCCTCGTTGGCCTGGGAATGCGCCGAACCAAAGAACATGCCGAACTAAACACACGCTATGACAAAATATTGCCTGGGTACGCTCCCAAAATCGATGACCCTTGTTACCAGACTGCCTGTGTGTTCCCGCTGTTTCTGAAACCAAGCGAAACAAATTGGGCACTCAACCACTTACCAAAGAATGAAGCTTTTTAAAGTAATCTACCAATCTCTTTGTAACAAATAAAATCAAACTATTGAAAATAAACGTTTCATTATTTTTTTGTTTTCATTATTTGTCTGTTCCTTACTAGTAGCGCTTCTATCTTCGACGTGGTTGTTGATGTCTGTCGCAATAGGTTTCGGACCAGTTTTCCTTCTGACTTTCGCAACCTATTTAGATTGATCAACCTTGGATAGACGCCAAAAGTGCTTGCAGTATGCAAAGAAACGTTTCGCATTTAAAATGTGTCATTTGTCCAATTTCATGTTACTCAGGGTATTCCATGAGATATATTCTTTCCAGGTTCACACAGTGTCTGAATATCGGACAGCGTTGTTGCAACACCAAAAGTTGCGACCAGCCGTTGTTAGATTTCCAAACACTTTTGTGCCGAAATTGAACACAAGAAATCAGTGAATACAGTGCACGCAGAGCTATCCTGTGGGTTGTAGAGTTTTGATGCAACCCCATGTCTTCATGCTTAGCCAAAACTGTTTATTGCTATTCATCAGCAGAGTAGAGTTAGGTGAGTAGGTGCATAGCTTGAAATATTGGTGGCCAGTGAGAACGAACAAAATAAGCGAGAGGTGACAAAAAAGTGTACGAGTGTGTGCCTTATCCTGTCTTCTTTAGTTTTCTTCTAGGTTCACACTTGCGCCGGAAATACTTCATTAATCTGTCGGCATTTTCAGCGTAATGTATTTTAGCTCTGATTTTCACAAAAAGCACCATAAAGACTTCATGTGGAGTGATGAAATGATACCAGCGTAATGTGAATAATTCTGAATGTTCAATGTCCGACTGGAATATACCTTTTCCGTTTCCTAAAGAAATAGTTAGTTGCTTTTTTTACCAGTACGTAAATTTCATGTTTTAATGGCAACAATTTCACATCTTAATATTTTCAGCAGGGATCTCAGACTACCATAGTGGTTGTTGACGACGTGATGAAAAATTCAATGACACCAAAAAAGTTCAGTCATATAAGTTTTCTGTATTGTTGTATTGTTTTATGAAAAGGAGCTGCCAATTAATGACACCAAGATACTTTTGCAAGAAACAATTCTGTGTTGTACAGCTCGACTCGTTTAAGATTAGGTCGCTATAATACTTTCATGCAGCTTTAGGCCACGTTTCGCACAGTTCTGCTATTTAATAAAGCCTTAAAGTATGCTTAGATTCATTGTGTTGCCATGGCAAAATGAATTGTTATCTATGAATCCTACTTTTTCGTTGCCACAGCATTTCGTGACTTTTTTCTGTTGTTGAACTTGTACCTACGTCATTAGAAAATCACTTTTAAGGATCGGGTGGTTCGCAGGCGCCACTGTTTGTGTTTCAATACGCGAAGATATTACGTCCATCTTACAATTTTATGAAAGAGCTACTAATATATTTAGCGCTGCGATGTCATCTGTGACGCTTGCATTCCTGTTAGTTCTTGCTCTGACTGTCATGACAAAG